AATAACAATGCTAGCAAACACTTGCAGTTATTATGTGTCAGGCATGTGGTAGCTCATTTTACACAGCAGCTCTCCAGATCATCAGCAGGGCTTGCTGTACTCCCTGCATCTGAACTTGGCCCCAACTGACCTTTCAGGACTCTGACATGCGGTTGACTCCCTTCCCTGCTGGTCCATGGCTAAGTCCCAGCTGGTCCCCCTCCTGCCGGCAGCTGAGATTTTCTCTGAGCCTGGGCCCTGCTGTCTGACCCCCAAGCATGTGGTCTCTATCCCATGAGACTTTTACCCCTGACTTCTACTGCTTTTGAAAATAAACACCCCCAAATCTGCCTTAACAAGTTGCTGACAATGCTACACATGGAGCATTAATGTGTCTCACTGTCATAAATAGAGTCATAAACAGAGACAGCCTCTTCTGGCCCAGACTGCCTGGGAGGCAGGACTGTCCCAGTAAACCTCTCATCCCAATTTTCTGGAGACAAACATTTCTGGACTAGTCGAATTTTCTTTTTATTTGCTTGGTTTTTGTAGCTGTAATAAACTGGATAACCTCCCAGTCTGCTCATGGCCTGGGTGGGGCTGGTGAATAAGTCCCACCTCTGAATTCCCAGGTCTCTGTCTCTGGACCTGGAGCATCCCATCTCAGAAAGAAACGGGATTTGCAGACCACAGGATTCATCAACATGCTGCATCTTACTGTAACAACAGGTTTTTTCCACAGCCAGAAATGAAACTGTTACCTAACCAAGCTTGCATCCATTTTCCCACGCACAGTAAAGCCAATCTATAGACACCTGGCTGTGGTGAAGGAAAGTGTGGTGTTTGTTGCCGGGTGGGCTTCCCAGGTGGCGCTAGTGGTAAAGAATTCGCCTGTCAATGCAGGAGACATAAGAGACGTGGGTTCGATCCCTGGGTCAGGGAGAGCCACCAGAGGAGGGAATGGCAACCCAATCTAGTATCTTTGCCTGGAAAATCTCATGGACTGAGGAGCCTGGTGGGCTATGGTCCATGGGGTCACAAAGAGTTAACACGACTGAACTGACTTAGCACTTAGCACTTAGCCAAACAAGAAATTAGGATCTTTTCAGAACAAGTTGCTCTTGACTCTTTGCTTGGGGCCCTGCAGTAAACGCCACAGTTTCCTTCATCACAACTGGTATCAGTAGATTTGCTTTATTGCATGTGGGCAAATGGACCCAAGTTTGGTTTGGTACAAATTTTGTGGGGGAGTGGGGGAGTCTTGTTCTGGGAAGGCTCCCCAGGATCCTGCTCAGTTATAAAACCACTGCAGATGGAGTAGAATATACAATTCACATTTACTTTAAAGGTTAAATGAAACGTCAGCTTTCCTACTGGGTACAGACTGGATTTCTGGGGGTTTTTGTCACTGTGCTCTGAGGGCAGAGGTACTTTGGTGGAAAACTCCGTGAGGCTCTGGCCTGGGGTGCGGGTGAGTCGAGACGGTTCAATAATTCTTCCTGCCCCACTCCCCTCCGCCCCCTCCTCCCTTCCCTGTCTGTCTTCCTCTCCCCTCCTTCTTCCCACTCCCTCCTTTCTCCCATCTTCCCTTCTTTTTCTCAGGCTCTAGTTCTTCGTTTCTGTCAATGAAATGCTCTCCCTAGTGGGGACAGACTGTCACTGGCATTTTCCAAGCATAACTGAGCTGGGGGATCTGTGTAACTGTCATAGACTCTTAGAATGGCCACTCTTCTGTGGCGACCACAGAAGTCCACTCTTCTGACATCTTAGGTGAGGAATGGAAAGTGACTCAATCAAGATGGAAGGAGGCAGAGCCAGACTAGACCCCAGGGCTCCAAGGCTTCTGGTCCCGAGTTCTCAGTGACGTCGGGAGAATTGTCAACCAGGCTTTAAATCGAGGCACCAGGTCTGATTTCATCAAGAGGTTGTGGGATTTGCAGATCATCTTGTTGCTTGTACTGCTGTAAGAACAAGATTGCGGTGATGATTAGGAGGTGTCTGCTCCAGATTAGTAATAGAACAGCCCTTCTGGAAATGCAGGGTTGGAGGGTGCTCTTGCCAAACTGTAGTAAGCAGTGCCCGGGAATCCAAATGCAGCCAAAACCAGGGCCAGCTGCTCCAGGGGATGGAACAATCTGTTCTTTCCCTGCCCATCCGGGAAGCTGGGCATGTCCGGAGGCAGGCCACTGTCAGTCAGCGCAGCTGCTTTCCCCAGAGGGAGGACCCTGGGAGCACCCTCACATTCCTGCACCCTTGTTCTCCTTGGCAGCTGGTTACATTATTCTTCCCAATGACGATATGGTAGACTGATAATAGCACTCCTTTAAAAAGATTATCAAACGATTATATGGGTAAATGCAAATCTCTTCATTCAGACAGACTATTGCTACATGCTGCCATGGACCTAGAAGAATCCAAAAGATATAGACAAGTAAGAGAACTTCGTATCCCATCTCTTCTTCAACAAAAATGTCTGAGAATGACTCCAAGACAGTAGTTTTGTGAAAGGAGCTTGAAAGACACAAAGCAGAATCATGGTCTCTGTCCTCAAGGATTTGACTCTCTACTGGTGGATCATATTCATTTCCTATTTCTGCTTTAACACATTCCTATAGACTTAGCATCTTAAATAGCTCACTTTATCATCTTACACTTACGGAGGTCAGAAGTCCAAAATGGAGCTCATTGGACTGAAAACAAGCTGGTAGGTCTGTCTTCTTTCTGGAGTCTCTATGGGATGTTGTGTTTTCTTGCTTTTTCTAGCTTCTGAAGGCCGCCCACATTCCTTGGCTTGTGGCCTCTTCTTCTATCTTCAAAGACAGCAATGGCCACTCAAGTATTTCTCCCATCACTACTTCTCTGGTTTTTCACTCTTTTGTCTCCCTTTGCCAGTTTTTCTTTTTAATTGGAGGATAATTTCTTTGCAATGTTGTGCTAGTTTCTGTTGTACAACAACGTGAATCAGACATAAGTATACATATGTCCCTTCCCTCTTGAACTTCCCTCCTACCCCACCCCACCCCTCTACATTGTCACAGAACACTGTGTTGAGCTCCCTGTGTTATATAGCAATGTCCCACTAGCTATTTTACATATGGTAATATATATATATATATATTTTTTTTTTCAGTGCTACTCTCTCAGTTCCTCCCACCGTCTTCTTCCCTGGCTGTGTGCACAAGTCTGTTCTCTGTGTCTGCATCTCTATTCCTGACCTGCAAATATGTTCATCAGTGCCATTTTTCCCTCTGCCAACTTTAAGGCCACTTGTGATAATATTGGGCATATTTGAGTAATTCAGAATAATCTCTTCATTTTAAAGCCATCTGATTAGCAAAATTAACTCCCCCTTGCTGTGTAACATAACCTAATTATAAGTTCTGGGGGTTAGGAAGTAGACATCTTTGGGAGGCCATGATTGTGCTCACTTCGCAGATTTAGACATAAACTCCTGGAGCTGGTGATGGACAGGGAGGCCTGGCGTGCTGCGATTCATGGGGTTGCAAAGAGTCGGACACGACTGAGTGACTGAACTGAACTGACTGGATGGGTAATCATTAGGGGCTTCCCTGGTAGCTCAGCTGGTAAAGAATCCACCTGCAATGCAGGAGACCCTGGTTTTATTTTTGGGATGGGAAGATCTGCTGGAGAAGGGATAAGCTACTCACTTCAGTATTCTTGGGCTTTCCTGGTGGCTCAGATGGTAAAGAATCTGCCTACAATGCAGGAGACCTGAGTTGTATCCCTGGGTTGGAGAGATCTGGAGAAGGGAACGGCTGCCCACTTCACTGTGATTAGTGCAGTGACTGGGGGAGAGAGGAGACAGTTATGGGAGCTGATAAGAAGAGCATCTAATCCAGTCTGAAAGGATGATGTGGTTGGGGGGGGGGGGCGATGAGGGGGTGTTTCTGGAAAAAGTGACGTTTGAATTTAGATTTTTAGCTTGAGTCCTTTCTTGAGTCTGGTCAAGAAAGGGGAAGACATTGTAAGAAAAGGGAGAAGGTGCAACAGAAACAAGGATATGCAGCATAACAGGGAGTGAAACTATGGCTGGAGAGTAGGGTCTGGGGAAGAGAGTGGTGGAGACGTAGGAGATTGGGAAAGTCATGCACTGGAAGGTTCTGTTGGGAAACACTTTCAAAGAGGGTGATTAAAGAGCCTTTTAAAAATGTTTGAATGAGGGAGACTTTTGCAACGTTTGGGTTGGGTTAAGGGGAAGCAACAGGGAGTGATGAAGTACCCTAGGATGGGCAACAGCCAGAGGTGTCACCCTCCCTAGGCCTGAGGGTTGTGAGTCACTGTGAGACCATGGGGAGCTGTGACTATCGGGGGAGCTCCTCTGTGGGGGTTGTGGTCTTTGGTAGAAAAACACAGTGATATCAAACCACATTCTGGCAGGGAGAGGTCTAGAGGAAGTTCTAGATGTTCCCCACCTTCCAACATGCTCAGCTCTTGCCTTTCATGGATTAAGCCAACCAGACGCCAGGGGGTGGGGGAGTTTGGCTAACATTGTGCGTGAAATTTAGCCCCAGGCGACTCAGAAGAAAGTGATTTTGGAGGGGAACCTGCGGGGACCAGACAGGAGGACCTCGAATGTTGTGAATATAGGATCTGAATTTTATACTGAAGGTCACAGAAAACCTAGGAAGTATTGCAAGCAAGTCAGTCCAAGGCTGTTTGGATCTTTGTATAGGTTCCCACTCCCCACATTACCTTCATCCCGTAGGGTAGAGATTTTATCTAGTCTCCATCTCTTTTCTTTATCCCACCTCTCAGAGCCTTGACAAGCTGATTTACACACTCTGTTAGCCAAGATATGAATGGCGAACAGTGCCTTAATGTGCCACCTTCTTCAGACAGGTTTAAATTAATTGAGTCTTCAATCCCTGGATCAGGTAATTATTGCCATGATAATGTGTTACAAAGTACTTCCAAACTCTGGGACTTTAAATAATAAGTATTTATTTAGCTCAGAAGCCTGTGGGTTGATCATTTAGCCTGGAAAATTTCTCTGGTCTCACCTGGGCTTGCTCATATATCTGGGGGTCATACAGTCTGTTGGCTGAAGATCCACACCACTGTCTGGTAGTCAAATGGTTTCTGATGTAGCTCTTCACCCCACATTTCTCCTTCTGGGGGGCTAGCTTGGGCTGGTTCTGAGCAGAGTGGCCCAGGCGCAGGAGCAGAATCAGAAACATGCAGGCTCTTGACCCAGCTTCTGCTTGTGTGACAACTGCCATCATTCTATTGGTCAAAGTGAGTCAGTGAGTAAATAGACTCCACTTCTTGATGAGACAAACTGCAGAGTCACGTGGCAGATGACATGGCTAGAATAAAGAACTGGTGCCGTGTGGCAATTCATCTGCCAATCATTGTCGGGTGCCTAAACCCAGGCAACAGAGAATGATTTCTTTATCAAATTATGAGTTTCTTTCTGGCCAGAATCTCCCACTAAACTGTCAGCCCTGAAGAGCATAATTGCACCTCCAGTGGCTCTAATACATGTGCTCACAGTAAAGTTTCATTGAAACCTGCAATGCAGGAGATGGGGGTATGGTCCCTGGGTGGGGAAGATCCCCTGGAGAAGGAAATGGCAACCCACTCCAGTATTCTTCCCTGGAGAATCCATGGACAGAGGAGCCTGGTGGGCTACAGTCCATGGGGTCGCAATGAGTCAGACACGACTGAGTGACTAGCACGCAGGCACACCTGCACGTTTAGACATGCTGTATTGCTGCTTCACTTTCTCTCTTCCAGGTTTTGATAAAGTGAGGTGAATCTAGTCAAGGAAAAGCTGTCCCCCAGGGCACTGTCTCACCTTATCAATCTCCACTAGAGGTGAGGAAGTTGGCTCAGTTGCACAGCTTGAACAGAAAAGTGAAAGTGTTAGTTGCTCAGTCATGTCCAACTCTTTGCGACCCCATGGACTGCAGCCCAGCAGGCTCCTCTGTCCATAGAATTCTCCAGGCAAGAAAACTGGCGTGGGTTGCCATTCTCTTCCTCAGGAGATCCTCCCAACCCAGGGATCGAACCTGTGTCCCCTGGATTGCAGGTGGATTCTTCATGCCTGAGCCACCGGGGAAGCTCCCAGCTTGAACAGATGACATCACTAACTAAAGGATATGATAGTCCTGTTATGGACTGAATAGTGCCCCCTCTAAATTCATGTGTTGAAATCCTAACCCCTAGTATGTCAGAATATGACTGTACATAAAGATTGGGGTTTTAAACAGGTAATTAAGGTAAAATGAATTCATGTAGGTGGGCCCTATTTCAATATGACTCATGTTCTTACAAGAAGAGATTAGGACACAGACATACATGGAGAAAAGACCATGTGAAGACAGGGAGAAGAAGCTGACTATCAGTCAAGGAGAGAGACCTCGGAAGAAACCCTGCCAATACTAGATCTCAGATTTCCGGCCTCCAGAATTGTGAGAAAATAGATTTTGACTAAGTCACACAGTCTAAGCTACCTTGTATGGCAGCTCTAACAAATTAATACATCCCCTTTCTTACAAGGGAACAGTTTATTTGGAGTGCGGTTTGTTTGGAGGGACTCTCCCAACCCCACTCCAGATATGAGTCAGAGGAATCCAAGTTGACAGCCTGGAAGAGGCTTGCCCACAGATGAAGTGCCAAGTGTTGCATGTCCGGGAAACTGATGGGATCCCTTCAGCGTGGCCCCTTGCAGGCTGAAGACAGATAGTGCTGGTCCTTTCATGTGGCCTTTCCCGGAGCTTTGCAAGCAGTTCTAACTTGTTCTTTGTAGGCTGATGCTAAATTCAATTCATTAGCAAGTTTCCCAGTGGCCTAATTTTATTGGTTCCTCAGGAGTTCCTCTCTTACTTTTCAGGCCGCTAGTCATCTAAAATGTGGTGTCTTCAGCAAATTCACCCCTCTCATTATGTGTGATCCCTCTTCTAGGCCATTTAGCCCTTCTCGCAGCTCCTAATAAATAAATACTGATCCTAAGACCAAAAACCCAAGAGGCCATACATTTAATTGCTTTCCATGCTGAGCAAGAATCATTTATTAGCACTGTGCAAAGCACAGTGTTTGAAAACTCCAAACCACATGAAACGCCGCAAGTTCTGAGCCAGAGCCTAACGGAGAAGCAGCCAAGTCTCATCTGAACTTTGTTAGGCTTCATGACCTTTCACAAAACCTCAAAGCAAACATAATTCAGCCCCTGGGTAGGCTCAAACTCTGAGCTGAGTCCTGTCATTTGTTTGGTTTTGTAGCAGCTGCTTGAATCACAAATCCACACTTCTGGTTTAAAAAAAAAAAAGAAAGATCCCTGCAATGGCTTCAACCCAGTGTGATGTTCTGTTTTGTTTTTGTTTTGTAACATGTCTATTAACTATGAAACTCAAGACTCCTTTGAAAAGCTAGCTCAACTTGTGGGTTTAGGATTGCCAGGTAAATCGGGACCAAGTGATTTAAGTGGAATTCGGTGAGAAATCAATTGTCATGAATCTGATTGGAATAGCTGGGAGAGAAGGAATAGCTGAGGGTAGGAGCCGAAGGCCAGAAGGGGATAGATCTGTTTTGTTTCAAAAAAGGAAGGTTTGGTGCCCAGGCATTGTCTGGACACAGTGGGTGCATGGTACAGATGTGTCACTGACCTATTCAACTTACGTCATCTGTAGTTTTCTGCTTGTCCTGAACTTCCTCCAGAGCCCTGACAAGAGCTTTGCAGACATTTCTATGCCACCGTGCATCCGTCTGGGCCTGCTGGGCCACTGCCTGACTGAATTAGGCTGGCTTGACAGGGAGCACTATGATGAGAAGGAGGCCAGCCTGGGGCTCCTCCTGCTGCAACTGGAGGAGAAAGGGCAGGGACGTGGCAGACAGGAAGGGTTTGGATTCTGAGTCAGACGTGTCCACTGGGTTGGCAAAGATGATAATAGAAGTGTGGTCCTATGCACTGCATCCACTCACTGGAGATTTATGCTGGTAGCCCAGACAGAGAGGTGAGCAGAAGGAACATGGGGACTTCTTTAGGCAAGAGGAACCGTGCTGCAGACTGGCATCTTAGCGGTCAGGCCAGCGTGGCCTGGTAGCAGATGGCTGCCCCAACCATGGGGCTGGAGTTGAGGGCCAGGATTCTGATCAGCTTGGGTTAAAAGTTAATTTGGGTAGGAGGGAAGGGTAAAGGTGGTGATGGAATAGTAGGAACAAGAGTTGATTCATATGGGATTGGGGTGGGAACTTTGTTCTAACAGATGCCCCCCTGTTAAACTGAGTTTCAAATCAGGTAAACTGTTGCTGGACTTGTCTATGAATTAGACTAGAATGATGTAACACACTGCTTTTTTCCCTTTTTCTTTTTCCTCTACTCTCCTCTGCCACAGGTAGAGCTGGGAAGGGCTCAGACCAGTGGAAGGAGATGAGGTCGTAGAAGGAGGGGATCTCGATCAGGTGGGGCCTTGGAGGTCATCGGGGGAACCTGAGAAGGAAGGGCCCCAACCACTTACCTCTCTGTCTCTTCTTCTCTGCTTCAGTCTTCCCAAATCAAAGCAGGTCCCACAAAATGAGATTAAACACATTTTCGCACTCTTCAGGGGATATGTAAATCAAATTCAAATTATTTGCCTTGGCAATCTTTTTGTAAACCTTTGTAAAATTCTCAATTGCATTTGGTAAAGCTAATGGTTGTAATTTCATATCATTCCTGCAGAAAGGAACAAAAGAGTAAAAAATATTTCAATAATATTTGAATCCCACTGCTTTGGATTTCCATGTTGATCTCATAGATTATTTATCTCTGTTTATGTACATAAATATTTTAATACAAATTATACCAAAATTGATGGATTTTATTGAAAAAAATTTAGGATGACTCTTTGTTAAATCAACTGATCCTTTGATAATATTTTCATAAACCAGTTACACCATTTTTATTTTTGTTTGAATAGAAGGATTATCACTAGGATCAATTAAGTTTCTATTTTGATTAGTTTATTATGATTCAACTTTTACCTAGTTGTGCATTCTGTGGTTATGAGTTTTCTTTGCAGAAGTGATTTCTACCAGTGTTATTCCTCAGGTCTAATTTATATACATGTAAAGATTTGATTCTTCCATTCACTTTTGGCTAATAAGCATTCTAGGTCATATGCAAATTTAGATGCTGTTAGTTTGTTTTAAAAACTATTTCTAGCAAGTCTGTTTTCCACTTTCAATTTTTCAGTTTTTTATCTGTAATACATTTTACTACATACAGTTAGTTTTATTTTCTGTTGATTATATTTTTCAATAACATTTGATAGGAATTAGATGAACTGCTAGTTAAGTTTTTATTGGTGCAACAGGCAGAAAGCACAGTCTTAGGAACTAGATGACAGCAAAGTCTAAAGTGGGGTTGAGGGCTTGCCCTTGGCCCATCTTACCTCTTACCAGCGGGCCATGCTGTCCAAACCCATTAAACCTTTGTTTGCATGCAGTTTGGCCTGTAAAGAAGATCTGTTTTTAGCTGTTTGACACAGATGCCAATTTCACCTGTGGAGGCGGAGGGCCACTGAAAAGGAAGGTCAGATGAACGACTGCTTCATCATGACAAAATTTCAGAATAAAGTAAAAAAACTGCGTATCCTTTTGATGATACATTTTGGCCCAAGATCATCATTCCCACATTTCAAAGCTGCTGTTTAATTTATTGCAAAACTTTATGAGAACTTAACAACATAAGAAAGAGACTTCCGTAAGCACTTAAGGAAAAGTTTAAAATATGCAGGGTTGTAGTAAAGTGAAGACTGGACCTAGAGATTATCATATTAGGTGAAGTCAGACAAAGACAAATAAATCACTTCTATGTGGAATCGAAAAAAAATGATACAGATGAACTTATTTACTAAACAAGAAAAGATTTGTAGACATGGAAACAAACTTATGGTCACCAAAGGGGATAGTGGGGCGGGGCATTGTTTAGTCACTAAGCTGTGTCCGTGAGGAAGAGATAAACTAGGAGTTGGGGATTAACATATACACACTACTGTATACAAAATAAGCAAACAAAAACCTACTGTAAAGCACAGAGAACTATATTCAATAGCTTGTAATAAGCTACAATGGAAAAGAATCTGAAAAAGAATATATATGTGTGCATATATGTATGTATGATGTATATATATGATATATGTATATATATGTGTGTGTGTATGATATATATATGATATATGTGTACATATGTATG